TTTTTTTTTTTTTTTTTTCCTTCTTTTATTTTTAATCCTTAAGATATAATAATGCTGCGTCGCGAATGAATCGCTCGAATGCGATTATCATTTTATTCCAGCATGTAAGATAACAATTCTAAGGTTAAGATCAATTTTAATTTTATAAATGTAGAAATGCAAGGTAAAATTTTCGGCATCCGAACTGATAATAATTTTTATACATTCTAAGAAAAATATTTATTAGTGTAAGTAGGAAAAAAATAATATGAAAGAATTTTTTTAGTAATTTCGAATTCATGTTTTTACTCTCGTGTATCAATGTTCTTTTTTTCATGAAATATTGAAAAAAAAAAATATCTTAAATTTTATTTTATCTCTTTACCAAAAGTATTAATATAATTGACAAATATATCTATCGAATCATTTAAAAAGAAATTATTTTATTCTATTTTAATCATGTATATATATATACAAATTATTATGCTATCGCTACGCTATACTCTAATCAAATTTAAAGCAAAACAAAATATATCTTCGTAGAAGAGAAAATATTCGAATAATAAAGTATTTAGTAAAAAAAAAAAAAATATTTAATAAAATATAAAGGTAATAAAAGTTCGGATGACAAAAATCCTTACCTTAAGAAAACTATAATTCTAAACGAATTGTATAGTTTCAAAAAAATTCAATCTCGTGAATAAAAAGGAAATTAGAGGAACGATTTTTCAGCGAATTTCGCGGAGATCAATCAAGCGAGCAAGATAAAATGAATAAATCGAGAAAAAGGCGACTTTTCAGGTTCGGATAAACGCATTCGCGCGATTCGCTTCAGCTGGTATGTATTCCTTAGAGCCGGTACCGCATGTTATCCGACACCTTAGCGAAAACTTGGTAGCGTGTACGACAGTTCTCTACGACAAAGTATTCACGAAGAAAGCTCTGTTCGAAAGGGAGCTCCGTTCGAAAGAAGAAGGGAGAGGAATCTTGGCAAGATGCCTTTGACAATGGCGTAAATCGGTCTTACTTGGGTACAATAGCGAACACTGGGCGTATTTCCTTTACAGCTTAACCGCGGATCGAGTGCCTGTAAGAAGCGGCGGCTAACGTTTGTCCCAGATATCGGGCAAAAAAATGAAAAGAGAACAAAGGGAATATAGATCGAGAACGTGACCGTGATACCACGAAAATAGAGCGATTTATCCAGTTCTTCGTCGAGTTAGCGTGTAAATATAGGAGATGAGAACGATCTCGAGCATTAGCTTTAATCGCGCTTTATAGATTCAGAGGAAGGATGGATTGAGGAGATGTTTAGGAAGAAATAATTTTTAGATTGATTAGAATCTTTAGATCGTTAGATTGTTGTTTAAGGAGACAAAATATAGGTAATAGACTCTTTTCATCGTCGATTCTTCAACATCGATGGACAAACGTCCAGCCGCTCTCGTTAACCAACACTGCCGCGCCAATTCTAATATCCTTCGAAGAACGAAGAACAATAAGACGAGTTCTAAATAAAATACATCGATTTCCACTGATTGTCACTGAGCGTTCCGAGAAAGAGAACGGAAGAGGAGAGATATGAACGATGATCGGATAAAGAGGAATCTTGACACACAAGATACATACATACATACGTACGTACATAAAGAGAGATCATAATATACGCGTTTTAAAATGATCGTTAATAAAGAGATACATACACACACACACATAAATACACACACATACATACACGGTTTGAATACGATTGAAGGAACAACGTAGAGAATGGTCTGAAGTTGCGTGGTGGAAGAATGAAGAAAGTCGTGTACATAATATTAAGTAGAAATTGTTTTTTATCGTTGAAATCATTTTAAAGCAAGATCGAGAATTTCATTCGTTACGCTACTCGTCACGCGGACAGCAGTGGTACGCATTATTAATATTTACGTATACGTGTATACACGTACGTGTGTGTGCGCGCGCGTGAATATTTGTATACGTAAATAATTGCATTTTCATTATTACATATACATATATCTATATATATATATAGATATATACACACATACATACAATAAAAATATATATATATATATATTTTTTTTTTAATCCGCATAGATAAAAATATACTATACAAACGGAGAAAAAAATGCGCTAAACAAGAGAGGCAGCTAATTACATACTTTTTTCGGCGGTCTTTGTGAAAGTCCGCGATCTTTTCTAATTAAAATTCCGCC